CGCGGGACACACGCGTCGTGAACGACTACCCTCGCCGTGGATCTGACCAGTTCGCAAGTACGAATACTTCCCACTACGACCCATGAACGTCTACTTCCGCCGACATCCCATCGAACCGATCCGCTTTGAAACGCACGCTTCGAAGGTATAACTTCCGAGAACGACCATCCGAGAACGAATGCATGTATTGTATGAGATGCCCATGTTTGCACCATGGTCGAATCGCTGCTTGCTCGGTCCTCCTCGTTTGCCGCTAACCCGTGGGAACCCGGTTACTGGGATCACCCCACCATCTTGCATGACACGCTCACGTCACTTTTCCTTTTGCACCGGTATCTCCATGAGCTACCGGAACCGATATGTTGCCGTGGCACCATTTTCGGATTCATTGTCGTGGCACCCCTTTCGTTTCCGCCACGATGACTAATGCTTCATAAAATGCTCTTATCAATATTTTCATAAAACTTGCATAAACTTGCATATGTCATCCGCATCATGATAACAACATTTAAAAATGGTTATATTTGTTGTTGCATTAAATTTCTAATGCACATGAGGATTTACCGGAATTGTTGTTTGATATTTCCGGCCTCATTTAAAATGCCTAGATGTGTATTTTACTCATGTTTCACCTCTTGCCATGTTAACCAACATTTAATTTTGTTGAGTACCTAATCGGGAGTGAACTAAATAATGGAATGTGATGTTTTGTCAATATGCATCCCGATGCATATTGAGCTCCACTTAATTTGTAGCATTGTTTGTGCACTTTGCCATGCCATGAATCATTAAACCGGACATGCATCATACTTGGTTGTGCATCATGCCATGTTTATGTGATGGTTGTTTACTATGTTGCTTGCTTCTTTCCGGGTTGCTTCTCTCGTTAGCTTCGGTTTTGTTCTCGAGTTGTGAGGATCCGTTCGACTACGTCTGTTTGTCTTCTTCATGGACTCGTTCTTCTTCCTTGCAGGATCTCAGGCAAGATGACCATACTCTCGAAATCACTTCTATCTTTGTTGTCTAGTTACTCGCTCTTTTGCTATGCCGCGATACCTACCACTTTCTATATCATGCCTCCCATATTGCCATGTCAAGCCTCTAACCCACCTTCCTAGCAAATCATTGTTTGGCTATGTTACCGCTTCTGCTCAGCCCCTCTTATAGCGTTGCTAGTTGCAGGTAAAGATGAAGTTTGTTCCATGTTGGAACATGGATATTGTTGGGATATCATTATTATATCTTATTTACTTTAATGCACCTATATACTTGGTAAAGGGTGGAAGGCTCGGCCTTATGCCTGGTGTTTTGTTCCACTCTTGCCGCCCTAGTTTCCGTCATACCGGTGTTATGTTCCTTGATTTGCGTTCCTTACGCGGTTGGGTGTTATGGGAACCCCTTGACAGTTCGCTTTGAATAAAACTCCTCCAGCAAGGCCCAACCTTGGTTTTACATTTGCCTCACCTAGCCTTTTTCCCTTGGGTTTCCGGAGCCCGAGGGTCATCTTTATTTTAACACCCCCACCCCCCCCCCGGACAGTGCTTCTCTAAGTGTTGGTCCAACCTGAGTGATGTTCGGCGCCCCCTGGGCAACCAGGGTCTATGCCAACCCGACGTCTGGCTCATCCGGTGTGCCCTGAGAACGAGATATGTGCAGCTCCTATCGGGATTTGTCAGCACGTCCGGGCGGCTTTGCTGGTCTTGTTTTACCATTGTCGAAATGTCTTGTAACCGGGATTCCAAGTCTGATCGGGTCATCCTGGGAGAAGGAATATCCTTCGTTGACCGTGAGAGCTTGTGATGGGCTAAGTTGGGACACCCCTGCAGGGTTTGAACTTTCGAAAGTCGTGCCCGCGGTTATGGGCAGATGGGAATTTGTTAATATCTGGTTATAGAGAACTTGACACATGACTTAATTTAAAATGAATCAACCGTGTGTGTAGCCGTGATGGTCTCTTCTCGGCGGAGTCCGGGAAGTGAACACGATTCTTGTGTTATGCTTGAACGTAAGTAGTTTCAGGATCACTTCTTGATCACTTTTAGCTTCTCGACCGTGCTTTGCTTCTCTTCTCGCTCTCTTTTGCGTAAGTTAGCCACCATATATGCTTAGTGCTTTGCTGCAGCTCCACCTCACTACCCTTTCCTACCCATAAGCTTAAATAGTCTTGATCTCGCGGGTGTGAGATTGCTGAGTCCTCATGACTCATAGATACTTCCAAACAGTTGCAGGTGCCGATGATACCAGTGCAGGTGACGCAACCGAGCTCAAGTGGGAGCTTGATGAAGATCTTGTTCGTTGTTATGTTTCTTTTCCTGATGATCAGTAGTGGAGCCCAGTTGGGACGATTGGGGATCTAGCATTTGGGGTTGTCTTCTTTTATTTTGGTTCCGTAGTTAGACCTTGATTGTATTTTGGATGATGTATGTTTAACTTGTATTTGTGTGAAGTGGCGATTGTAAGCCAACTCTTTATCCCTTTCTTATTCAGTACATGGGATTGTGTGAAGATTACCCCTCTTGCGACAAACCTACCATGGGGCTATGCCTCTAAGTTGTGCCCTGACACGTGGGAGATATAGCCGCATTGTGGGTATTACAAGTTGGTAATCAGAGCCTTCCCCGACTTAGGAGCCCCTGCTTGATCGAATCGCTGACGTTGTTGAGTCTAGAAGAAAATGTTTTGAGTCTTATGATTATATATATCGGAGAGTAGGATTCTTTTTACTTATCAGTCCCTTCATCGATCTGGTGAGGCCTCCTGACGTAGAGTTTTGACTCTTCTCTCCTTAAATTTCACGATTTTTTTTTAGGATCATGTGGGTATCTTGGAAATCGTTCCGATGATTTTGTGACGAGAACATTGTTCTTGGTGCCTCCTGACATTTAAGGGTTGTGGCAGTGTCCCGAGGAGTTAAGCTCCCGTTTCTATATGAGCAATTATAAAATAAATGAGTCATATGATTTTCCACAGATAGCCCTCAAACTGAAGGGCAAACCCATAGGAAAGCTAAGTGCAGGGCTCTAGTCCGAGAGAAATGGCAGTACCATACAACGATCTCAAAATAACATGAGGCAAATGCATGCTGGTGCAGGCGTGCAGCACACCATTACTCATTCCTACTTCAACTACTAGCATACAGCACCATTACTCATTCCTACTTCAACTACTAGCATACATGCTTCAAAAATACAGTTGGTGTGGCACTGAGTGCCTTTCATATAAAATACAATTTATCTTCTAAAAAGATCTATCTAAAATACAGTTCTTCAAGGTTCAAGCACCGTGTGGCTTCAAGGAATATCTAACGAAAATATGTAAGTCATCCCACGACTTTAAGAAAGGGGCAGGCTCAAAATCTTACAGACCATACATCATCCATCGACAAACCTCGGCTTTCAGTGGCCTGGCCTCCAACTTTACAGTATGCAAGTTGCAATTTTTTGCTACAACTGAATGTCATGGTCCAAATGTAGTAAAAACTAGCGCCGAATATGCGGGGCGCACACCGTGCCCGTGGCAAGCCTCATTTATATTTTGAATAAATACTTCAATTTTATTTTTATTGCATGCAGGTCTTTTTTTCATGTTTAATTGGTTGGACTTGTTTTGTTTTGTTCGGGTTTTATAGGAAGGAAGGGAGGTGTAGGTTCGTTTTAGCAAGATTCGTTGGTGCAATAGGTTTATTTATAATATGTTTACATCCGCTGTAGTTGCTATTATTGTCCTTGCATATAGAAATGCTTGTCTTGTTTTTGTATAGAGCGACAAAGACCATTACCAATGCCGTCCATTTCATGTTTCTTGTAGATCATGCTTGAAGTTTTGAACGAACCACGATTTATTTACGACAAAGAGTTAAATAACACATGTGCGATGTAGAACAGATCATTCTAAGTACGGTGCAACAAATTGAAAACCGATTTTTTTTTAGTTTTCTGCCTGCGGGTAAATCATTAGTGTTTTGTCTTTGTGGAATTTCTTCAGCATGTGAGGCCTGGCGACATTTAATAAGGGAAGCAGAATCAGGGCTATATTGTTTCTTAATTGTATTGTAAAATATACTCTGACTGTCTATATCTCATTTTCTTGTGACTGAGGCATTTCATTTTTCTATGAAGCAAAATTTGCTTATGGTGGGGGTTGCAAGCAGATTATTCTGGGATGCATCAGTTGGTACTTGGTAGCATAGTTTAAAAAATCAAACCGGGCAAGGTTGTCGGTTTAGGTTTTTACCGGTTTGACCACTGGTTCACCAATTCGGTTGTCAGTTTTTTAAGCAACAAAATAATATGTATTCTATTAAAAAAATACACCAATCAGTAGTGAAAAAATGTTTAATCGGAGGTGACCGCCTCGCGTCCCAGTCCTCCTGCTCGACTACTCCTGGTCTGGACTCTAGATCGGAGAGAGGCAACTGGAGGGAGGCCTGGTCAATTTTACAGGAGCGGAGGAAGAGTGGTGGCTCAGAACAGCAAGACACGAGAGTGGCAACACCAGCTGGTGATCTGGTGCCGCATGGAGTGGTGAGGAAGAGGAGGCGTCGGCGCACCAGTGTGTCCGACAAGGGTGGCACCGAAGGTGGGCGGCTACGCTGATGGGGTTTGTTTGTGGACAAAATCAAGAGAAATGCTCCAAATTCAGCCGAAACCCTACCAAAAGAGGGGTTTCCTTCCTTTTCCGATACTATATGAACAAGGGATGATCCACATGAGAGCAAGAAAACTTTTCACATAAAATCAGAAGAGGTATCCATATATGAATCGGTTTAGAATTCAAAGATCAAGAAACCGTAGTGCTAAAGATTAGATGCGCAGATTCAACTCTGTAGTCAGACAGTATGCCTTCCCCTCCAGATAAAGATCGGAAAGCTTGCTGCATAATTCGTGTAACGGCGGGATCAGCACTTGAGACGGTGGCTACTACTAAGATTGGCTACCCGTACGACAAATGCGGGACAGAAATAGGATGGCCATTTCTGCATCATTACAAGACGGGACCTATTACATACTACCTGGTAATACAGGGTACGTTAGTTGTAGGTGCACAAGAGCGGCAGCCAACAAGAAAAGGAATGCCACGAAAATGTACTTCCAGTTCAGGAGTGTTGGCTCAATAGAACGCACGGTCTCAAGAGTGCAAGATTCATCATCAAGCACAGCAGTAATCCCAGCTTCCTTCTCTCCAATAAGAGCGTCAGCCTTCACCTAACCATACAAGAAATATGTCAGCTTTTGCCCTTCTTTTTTGGCAAGGGTACAGGTATCACAGTTTGAGGCTCAACATATTGATCATACTGTATTAGCCAAATGTTCAAAGAGTAAAAAGGTCTAAAGACTAGGAGCCAGGGATAGGAAGTTCAGGGTTTGAGTCATTTCCTACAACAAATGCCTTCTCATGATGCAAACAATTGTCCATATCATGATATCAACAGAAGTGGGAAAGCCAAGAAATTTGCTGCTTCTACGATTTTCACGACAAAAGCAAGACATCCGAAGAAGAACTGACCTTTGTCTGCATTGATGAAGAATCCAGAAGTACTTCCTCTATTACACCAGTCGGCCTGAGTTCACCTTCATTAGCAGTAACCTTTTTGCTTAACAAGGTGCCTTCATTGACATTCTCTTTGCATTTTTGAGTCAACATCCTGTTCTTCCTTGTTAGCGTGACAATCTGTAAAGAACAGACATCAGAGAGAGAGCTGGTTCAAAATACACTAATTATCGTAGCTCATATACATAAACATCAGAGCAAGCCAAACTGTAAGTAGGTTAATATCGAGGAACAATTCCCAAAGAAAAACATTGATAAAGTTAGGTCCATTGTGATGTCTGATGCCAGGGAAGGCTACACAAAGGGATGGGAAAGCCACACGATAACTTGTAGAGTTACAAACTGTAAAAAGAAGATACTACTCCCTCTGTTCACTTTTATAAGGCGTTGTAGCATTTCAGACAGTGTACAAAACAGCTCAATTTTAGTTGTCTGAAACGACTTATAAAAATGAACGGAGGGAGTATATAATATACTTTATGCCACGGACATGCTTGCATAAACAGATGCCAACCAAAATTGTAAGTAGGTTATAACTCTATAGTAGAGGGAAAACCGATGATTCCCTTAAAAAATGAGCTCGAATGGTTATGGACAATTTTTTAAAAACATGTAAGATACTCCCTCCCGTCCTTTTTAGTTCGCATATAAGATTTATCTAAAGTCAAGCCTCGTAAAGTTTGACCAACTTTATAGAAAAAAATACCAACATTCACAATGTGAAATCAGTATCAGTAGATGCGGCATGACTTAAGTTTTCATATTATATAACTTTAGCATGGTAGATGTTGATATTTTTTCATACAAATATGGTCAAACTTTATGAAGTTTGACTTCAGACAATTCTTATATGCAGAGTAAAAAGGTTATACTCCCTCCCGTCCTTTTTAGTTCGCATATAAGATTTATCTAAAGTCAAGCCTCGTAAAGTTTGACCAACTTTATAGAAAAAAATACCAACATTCACAATGTGAAATCAGTATCAGTAGATGCGGCATGACTTAAGTTTTCATATTATATAACTTTAGCATGGTAGATGTTGATATTTTTTCATACAAATATGGTCAAACTTTATGAAGTTTGACTTCAGACAATTCTTATATGCAGAGTAAAAAGGTTATACTCCCTCCGTCCCAAAATAAGTGTCTCAACTCTAGTACAACTTTGTACTAAAGTTAGTACAAAGTTGAGACACTTATTTTGGAACGGAGGGAGTATCAAGTAAATGATATCAACATAGAGTTGGGACATGCAAATGCATAATGTTCGTCCTTGTATAAATCCCTTTATTGGATTTTAGTTAATGATTTTACCCTTCAAGAAGTGCTCATCATATTATGTTCTCTTTACCAAGTCAAAGCATTGGACACATTTGTATCCTTGTAATTGAACACGTGCTTCGTGGTCTCTTTACCAAGTCAAAGCATTGGACACATTTGTATCCTTGTAATCGAACACGTGCTTCGTGATCAACCATGTAGTTTTTCAGCTGCTTGAGATGAACTACCACAATAATTACTGCTGTATGCTGGCAAAGCAATATTTCAGTCCACGCATGATATCTTGATTCGACACCAAACTAGTGCTTATTCTGTACAATGCCATACAGAAAGCACATATTTTTTGCGGACATGTATATTCACAGCATTCAAAGTACATGCATGCACATTAAAAGAGAATAGTAGAAGTAAACTTTCCATAATAACAACGTGCATACCTGCAGATGAAGGCGTTCTCTTTCCAATGCAAGTTTCGCAACCAAGTCAGTGATGGTCTTAGTTTTAATACCAATATCTTTTGCAGTGGACAGCTTTAGTTGGTTAGCTTGGCGTAACGAGTTCTCTAGACCTCCAACTCGACCTCTCAGAAATGATATCTCTTCACTAAGCTCGAACTTGGTATCTGTCAACAATGTACATTTTGATTCAGCATTCTCAGCCCTGGTTTCAGCTTTCAAATACTTATCCTTCAGATCTTCAATCACATGTTGCATATCAGAGATTGAAGACTTTAACATGCTCTGATGTTCACTAATAGCCTCAACTGATGCCACTGTATGCTCTAACTGAGCTTCTGTCTCCATAAGATCCATTTCCAATAAGCCTGCCTTATCTGACCCCCGAGTCTTCATATGATTTAGCTCCCCATTAAGTTGTACATTAGTGTGAGTGAGCTCTGCACACCTTGCTTCGGCCTTTTGTGTTCTACTTTCTGCTTTGGAAACAGCATCTTTAATATCATTGATTATATTCCTAAATCTGCTTATCTCAGATGGTGACATATTCTGCTCTTTTTCATTTCCTTCTGTCGATACTGTTACGAACTGCAATTGGGAGCAAGATTCCCTCAGCCACTCCTCCAGTTTCTGAACCTTATGCTGTAAAGCGAAGAACTCAGGGGTCGACAGCCTTTGCCTCTGCATGGAATCCTGGCTGGCATTCTCCTCACCGCCATTTTGCATCATCTCCAGTGAGCCATTCAAAGCATTTAACTGCACCAAGCTTTGCTCTAGCTTTGCTTTAAGATCACTTTCCCTACAACCTGATGCACTTAGTTGGTACTGCATGGTATTAATTCTGTTAACAAGTTCCTTTGACGTTACAAGAAACAACTCGGAAGCATTTTCTGCTGCAAACATTCTTTCAGAAATCGCTTCAACCGATTCCTCCAAGAAATACGACCCGTGTTCAACATGATGCAGCTTCATTTTCAGCTCTTCCACGAGAACCCCCAAATCACTTAGCTTCTTTTCAAGATCTAATTCATTTGCTATCGACTGTTCTAACATCTGAAGAACATTCCTTTGGCCCTCAGCCTGGATAGTTGTGTGAGATGAAACGTGTCCATTTTCATATGCACCACCTTCACTATTTCCTGTAAAAATGCAATGGTCAGGATATGGGTAGAGTGAACACTCACACTAATATGGCCTAAAATGCTTGAACATACCAGCTTTACGGTGGGAAGGGTCTAGGGCTTTTTCAAAGTTTGCAAACTCTCTTCTAATTGTGGCTATCACCTCCTGCATCTGCTTCAAGGAGTCCATGGCAGCATGTAGCTTACCCTTCAACCAGCCCTCTGACTCTTCCCCGTTAAGCTTCTTTTCGATGTTTCCAATATCGATTTGAATATAACTGATTAACCTCTCCAACTCCCTGACTTCTGCATCTAGAATCCCGTACAATAGGTCAAATTCGAAAGCATTCTCGAGCGACTCAGTCGAAAGTGACCCAGGGTCCAGCATGAGAGGTTCAATATCATTTGCTCGGTCAGCTACCTCCATCACCAGCATCTCTAAATTCAGTAACTTCTCAGAGCCAAATTGAATTTCGAGGTCCACCCTAGACATGACATCGGCTGGGTTTCCAGCTCCATTTGATCCATCTCCGTGCAGCAGAACATTTTCATGGAAACAATAATTGCCCTGAGTGCTCTGAAAGTCCATGATCCCTCTTCTCTATGCCTCCTGCAATAACATATGGGTTCATCTCATGTAAAGAAAAAATATATAAATAAGACTTTCATTTCTTCAAATATTTGAGGGAACTAGGATAGAAGCAAGGCAAGCAAAGCCGCAACTCCACCACGGCGCATCAACTCCCCAATGGACTGCCAAAAATTCATACTATTTGGTAGGAGCGGTTAAAAGTACTCACACTATGCTCTCTTTTTTTGCTGTAGACTAAAATGAGCTGATTATAGGTTACGCGTTGTGCCTCGGGCCAGCTGGCTTGTTAGGTCCATAACATAACTGGTCCGGCTTGGCTCTTTAGCTTATAGAAGAAAAAACTTGGTTCTGGAAACAAGTAGTAAGATGGTAGTCCCTCCATTCACAAATACAAGATGTTTTGGATATTTCAATATGGACTACATACAGACTGAAATGAGTGAGCAAACACACTAAAACGTGTACATAACTCTATATACATCTGATTCAGAAAAAAGTTACAACATCTTATACTCTCTCACTTTTTATTTACTCCGCATATTAGCTTTGACTGAAGTCAAAGTTTATAAAAAGTTTTACCAAGTTTGTAGAACACAATATGAACATTTACAGGAACATATTTATATGATGTGCAAATATATGCAATGATGAATCCAATGGTATTAGTTTTGTGGTGTATATTTAATATATTTTTGTATAAACTTGTTAAAAGTATATAAAGTGACTTTAGACAAACCTAATATGCGGAGTAAAAAAAACGGAGGGAATATTTGTGAGTGGACGAAGTATCAAGTAAATATGCCTTAATTTTGAAGAAATCTCGATAAAATTTGTCTGGACTCGATCTTATCAACCTACACACACCTGTATAGAGTACACTGACACTCTGGTCCGAATCGTGGGCATACGTGCATATCCCTAGCTGACTCCTGGCTGGGTTTGGATATGCCTATCTGAATCACAATCACGCGAGAAGCTCGGTGCGACAAGGATCCCGCGGAGGCCAAATGGCGCGCCGAATGATTTGGCAAGGACTGGGCACGGGCAGTGGGCATACACACGGACA